AAAAAATACACTTAGCACTGACAGAGCAGGAAAACAGCAGCATTATACACAATTTAGCCAGTTTCAGTATCGTTAGCTAATTAAAATGTCGTCCCTGCCATATGTATGTGTTTGTGTTGAAGTGCGTGAATATTTCTGTGCCATGTTTACACTCTAGTGTGGACTATGGTGGAAATTAGGGTGGTGGAAATCACCACTCAAGGGTGAAACTGTTCCTGTTCCTGAGCCTGTTCTTGTGTTTTTTTGCCCAACTGCTTTTTTGCTGGCAAACACAGATTGTATACTGGTAACATAGATGGATTCCATAATACACCAGTGATTATCACAATAACAATACCACAATAACAATAATTATCATTAATTCCTGCACACTTATCTAACTGATCAAGAAACTGTGCGTATTGACTCTATGGGTTTGCGTTGTGTTGTCCCAGCTGGTCTGTAGGAGAGTGGGGGGTGTGCAGCCGAAGCTGTGGAGGAGGGGAGCAGACTCGGCAGGTCCAGTGTGTCCAGAGAACCAGCCGGACTGACGTGGACACCCTGGCTGACTCTCGTTGTGCCCAGCCGTCCCCGGTCAGGAAGCAGACCTGCAACACACACAGCTGTCCACCGGTTTGGACAACTGGGTCGTGGTCACAGGTGAGAGTGCGAAACTTTAAAGCTGTTTGTTTACGCTGCTGGCACGTTGCTGCTGAAGAACACCGCTTGAAAAACCCCTTTGAAGTCATACGCTCGCCCAGTAAGCCCTAAAGAGCTCTGCACATTGTGTTGTGAAGTTCGCCCCGGCTTTAATGGCTTCACCACATTTTATGACAGTGATCTCAGTGGCTTTAAACTATGAATGTGCCTGCTGAGACCTCCAGTGTTTTGTTCTCTGTCCAAATCCTATACATTCTGTGTGGTGACTTGTCTCAGTGTAACATTTTAACTGCCGTTTTACACCAAATATCGTCAACGACGTGGCACAAGTGGTGTCCAGTTCGCTCGCCCCCTGGTAGCTTGTGGCACAGTGTAGTGCGTCACAGCCCCGTGTTTATTGGCTGTAGTGAATCATTTCAAGATTTAGATCGTCCCATTAGCTGTTTCTAGAATAAAAAAAAGGATATTGAGGGAATTGCTGGAGTACCTCAAAGGAATTATTAAGGCAGTAAAGCACAGTAATCCATTGTGTGGTGACTATGCTGTATAGCAGCTTTTCTGAAATGCTATTTGTGCATAGCTGGCCTGTTAAGATGTTTAGCATGTGACATTTCTTTCATTCATAGTTCCAGGCAGGTAATAGCTAAATTAAATATGTCAAACTCTCAATTAATTTTGATAAATTTGTTCCTTCTGCTTGAAAGAAGTTGGGAAAAAATGGAAAGAAATTCTCGAAAAACCAGTTTAGTCTACATTTTTATGTCTTTGTTAATGGATGATGAAAATGTGTGTAACACATAACAAGGCTTTGACAATGCTGGAATATAACATGACAGTTTGGACCTAACTACGATAACAAAGATTGTTAATACTGTAGCATTTAAACCAACTGATCAGCCATTAATTAAGCTCCAATACCTAAATGCAATCAGATATCATGTTTGTTTTTATTTGGCAGTGCTCGCGTAAGTGTGGCAATGGTTTGAAGAAGAGGACTGTGCTGTGTGTGAGCTCTAACCCGGGTGCCCAGGCGCACACGCTGCCCAACAGCAAGTGCGCAGGCCTGCCAAAACCTGCTGGTCAGGATTCCTGCTTCATCAGACGCTGCCAGAAACAACGCAAGGTCCAGTGGTTTGTCTCCACATGGCAAGAGGTATGAAATTAAAATGAATAAAACAGCACTTATGCAGTATTTAAATGTATTTTTGGCTAGTGTGAATAAGCTCTCTGTCTCTGCTCCGTTCCACATCCAGTGTTCAGTAACATGTGGTCGTGGCTATCAGGCACGCTTCATCAAGTGTGCAGAGAAGGTGTGTATTGTGTGTGTCATTTTTCAGTGTCATAATAATTCGCTGCATTTAAATTCTCTTTAAATTCCAATTTGTTAATATTATTTTAATTATTTGCTTTTGTGTTTCTAAATTGATTTGTTGGAGGTTCTTTATCATATAATGGCATCTATAGCTTTAGTGAATTTCTCTATTTCATAATAAAGGACACTGCAGGAAAATACAGAGAGCTTGCTCCCAAGAAGTGCCACCATGTTCCCAAACCCATAGTAGAGCTTCAGAAGCCCTGCATCCTGGCTGAATGTCCTGTCCGCACAACGCAATCAGTGCTCTACCAATGGAAGACGCATCATCGGAGCTATCCAGCCCACCCTCCACCTCGGCCAGAATGGCGCTCGTCTCCTTGGTCTCAGGTATCAGCAGAATTTCCACTTTGGTAACATAAACAAGAGGAGGGAGCGAATGTGTCTCACAAAGGAGATTCACAGTATCTATAATCCGTTCCTTGTTGCTTTGCTCTCTGCAGTGCACGGTGACATGTGGAGGAGGAGTGCAGGCCAGGGCGGTCCAGTGTCTGGCGGAAGAGAAACCTTCCACCGGCTGTGCCGTCCATCTCAAACCTGCAGTGTCCCAGGCCTGCAATACCAACTTCTGTCCACAACCTGAGAAGAAAGGTACCAGTGCTCTTATTCTCTCAAAAGATCTCCCAAAAAAGAAAAGGAATTTCACTTTTTTTTCCTCTTCTTTTTACACAGAACTTGCATGTCAGGATTACTTCAGCTGGTGTTACCTGGTGCCCCAACATGGAGTCTGCAACCACAAGTTCTATGGCAAGCAGTGCTGCCAGTCATGTTCAAATTCAAACCTATAATCCTAGGACGTGACTCAGTCCGCTGTACAGGCAGATAGGTAGTTAGTCAAAAGACTGCAAAACATGGTTGTGGTTTTAAGCATGTGGCGAGCACTGAAATACAAAGCCTTTTCTTTGGAAGTGCTCTTCATTTTCTCTCTGCGATGCCGGACATCTGGATACAAGAACTTGATGTTGACAGCACTACACAGGAATGGGATCGGGAAAACACAAATAAAGACAAGAATTATGTGGAGGAACTAACAAAATAGTAATCGTGATTAAAGCAAATAGGATGGACATGTCTAAAAGAAACTGAAAAATCCCAGCTTTGTTTATATACTGTAGCTCAAAAGATCTGTACTCAGGACACTCAGCATCTCTCAGTCAACAAAAGGCCAACGATGGCAAACCAACAAAGAAAGACGTCTTCAAGCGCTGCCACGCAACACGTGATATGCCCTGGTCTGCGCTGCAGACCCTGATGAATTGACAATCTGTGGTTTCTTAATGAAAAGGGACGTTTCAAAGAGACGATAAAGGTATAAATAAATTTTGCCTTGAGCTTAATTTTTTTTTTTTATTAAAAAAAAGAGAACAAAAATGACATGCTAATCAATGTGTATTTCTTTAATAGCTGGGCAGTTGCCATGTAAGTTGTCATGTAAAAGTAAAAAAAGAAGAGAGCACAAATCAACTGCATCATCAGATGCATATGTTTTCTGTGACGGGATAAGTCTGCGTGATGTGGCTTTCCTTCCAAGTGGTGCTACAACTTTGTCGCATTGAATTCATGAAATCAGTGTGAAATGTTCAAGCTTCAGGAAATAACAAATGAATTGTGTGACCCGTGTACAGTATTATTTGTTTTATTTATTGGCTTTGCAATGCAGTGTTTCTGGAAAACTGTATGATTAAGCATTATAAATGTGTCCTTGTATTACTCTACCCTAAGCCCATTACCTTAATATGTGTTATTAATTTTCATTACATGCTGTCAAACTGCACCTTTTTATGCAAAACCTTTATTTTATTTTTTTTTAAAAGAAAGCAGCTGTCAAGTGAAATCACTAACAAGCCATATCAGTGTGTTGTTTAATGTGTCCTACATTATTATACATGACATTTGCATGCATTTATATGGCACAAAAATGCGTTACATATCAATTACATTTTAAAAGCACTGATGGATGATAGGTAATACTATTACAATATGATTTTTTTTTTTTTTACGGTGGTAATGAAATAAGATAAACAAAATGTGTAACTACAGGAACATGAGCCCCGATTTCATCATTTTTAGCTTTAAGTTGGACAGAGTATCTTTCAGGGGGGGATAAACTTGAAACTCTAAAAGGACTCCTGGAGAAAAGCAGAAAAACAAATATTCAGGATGGAAACTTGATCGCTTGAGTCATACAACTTTGGCTACAGTCTTCAACTGGGCATGGCGCTGTCATCATGCCTTTACATAGGATTAGGATTGCACCATATCACTGACATCACTGTCACCATTGTTCCACTCTACCATAGCGGGGGCTAGTAGGTCTTTTGCATTTCTCTGGCTTCAAAATACAGATTTATAACTTTTACTTGTAACAGCTGTAATGTATATATGTACATTTAAACATCTTAACTCCAGTCTTTGCTTCTATTTATTATGTTCCTTCCAACATAAGTAAAATTACATGGTAGTTCTCTGCTTTACCTACCTACTCAACTTTGATGGAATGTCTTTTCAGTACAGTTAGTTCAGTTCAATGCACTAAGCTACTAAATTACTTTTTGGACAAAGCAATTGATTTGCTTTTGCTTTACTCCACAAAATGACCTGAAACACATTGTCACTTATCAGTCAGAAATAAAAACTTTAGGCTACAGACCCGCACAATGACTCAAATTCCTATCCTAATTTTTATCCATATCCCGATTTCATCTTTGTTTTAGTTTTTATTTATGAACACAAAGCCGGCAACACAAAGAAAAGATGAAACCTGGCCCAAAGTATGGTGGCCCTGAGAAGTCAAACACACTGTGACTCAAGAAAACATCAGCAAATATAAAAATGCTGTAAGAGCACGCAATACCCAATGGAAGTTGAATAAAACAAGTAAGAAAAAAAAAACTCCAAATAATACAAAACACAACTCAAGTGTTTTTGGAGATAATAACATGACGGAACAGCGATAGAAACCACAAAGGTTTGCACTGAGACGCTTAAAAGAAGAGATGGTTTCATCTGTGTTGTGAGTGAGGAAAAACATGCAGGTAATGTGTGTTTTAGTTGCATTTTTCATATAACAATGTGGATACATGTTTGCTATAAGCTGTTCAGTTTCGTATCTGGTCCGTCACATTATTGTCTCCCCCAAAACACTTCTGCTGTTTTTTTTGTGAAGGTTTTGGACTGCATATTTTTCTATTTGCTGGTGTTTTCTAAATTTACGGTGCATTTGACCTCCTTTTAAAGAGACTTTAAAGCGAACGCCAGGGTGATATGTACGTGTAGAAATGGATGTTTCAGTGCTACAAGTCTAAGTGCCTTTTTTTCTGCTGAAAATCCGCCCCTGGCTGCTGGGCTGGAAGGCTTAGCTTTGACATGTTTCTGGTTTCTTGCCTAGCTATGTGTTAGCATACTGTCTGTGCAGATGCTTTTGCACAATGTTAATAAAAATAATTTTCACAAGCACACAAAGGGAAATCAGCTGATTGCAGGACTGTGTGTAACTTTTACTGAAAATGTAACGCCATTACAGTAACACATTAATTTGCACCCAAAACGTTTTTAATGTTTGGTTTCACATTTTCTTTAAATACTTTTTTTTTTAAATATTTTTTTAATATTACTTTGTTCTACTCAATTGATCAGATCTGACTTATGTTTGGTCAGACTCTCCCATAATGAAGTAGATCTTGAAACAGAGCCAAGGGGAGGGTCAGGACAAAGGGGAGGTCCTTCCCCAAGCTATATAGGAGATATAGCTGGATATATAGCTATATAGGATGGCCTACTCCGGCTTAACTTACATTGTCAATAGTACAAATATGGCTCCGCTTCAGAGTGTTATGTGTATCCATCCTGTTTCACATGCACTGTTTGAAAATATAGCTATTACCATAATAGCAGTGAGCCTTCATTTGTAGCTTTACTATCTATGTCTGTCTCTTTAAATATAGTTGGTGGACTCAATATTGTAATCTGAGGTTTTGCTAACACAATTTGAAGCAGATAAGAGCTAGCCTTGTATTTCATATCCCATATGTAACTGGTATGTCTAATATGCTGTTATGTTCCTTCAGTGTGTACAGCTGACATCATATTATATCATTAAAGTTGTACGGTTGAAACTGTGGCGGTAACCCTAGGAAGTTGATTGTGTTCATCTGGACGTTGGGTTTTCAGTGGTCGCTGATCCAAGTGACTTCTTAGTCCCAGAGGTAACTGTGTGGAGGTATCTTTTTCCCTCAGTCATAATGCAACTCTTCATGTAATTTACCTCTGCTGGCCAATGACTGTAGAAAACAGCTGCGACGTTCATAACACAAGGAACAGCTCACTGAACTAATACGAACTAAAATAGTTCATATTATGTTCTGTTATTTTAGGTACATAAGTGCCCCATTATAATAGGCCTAATGGCATTATTGTATGAACCTAGATCCCATATATTCTTTTTGTTTGTTTTTTTTGTATTTATATTTTTAGGTAACAAGTATAATTTGTAGTTAGGCAATGGTGTGAAGTTTAAAAAACAGATTTGATTTTATTACTAAACGTGCTGATGTGAGAGGTCTGACCTGCTAAGCATGCTTCATGCTTTTGAACCAATGTCTAAACCACTTATGTGACAGACTAACACATCAGAACCTCTGGCTGTGCAGCTGGTGAAGATCAACTGTAATTTCTAAATCAAAAATGTAGTGATTCCTTGTTCTTCTGAGGTCACTCTTGCAGTTATGTGCAGGTATTCCTTGAGCCTTTATTACAGCATTATTTTGATACAAAATAGATTTATTGAGCTGTTCATTAGTAGCCCAAAAAGTTGATTCTATTCTAGTACCGTTTTGTTGTTGTTGTTGTTGTTGTTGTTGTTTTTTAAGTGCTTTGAATGTGTACTTGTGTCTGTGTAGTCATATTTGATTGTCATGGACATTCAACTGGCTGAGGCTACTTCAGCTGCTAGTACTTGTATCTTCACTTACTACATTAAAGAAAGTGAATGGAAAAATATCCTGTACCTTTTTAATACCTCCTCTTTTTAGCCTAAAAAGATTTACTTATTACTGCATGTACTACAATATAGCTTACACCTTCAGGCTGTATTACCATCAAGCTGTAATTCCATGCAGAGTCAAGAAATGTTAAGTATAAAAAACTGCAATTCAATACCTGACTATCTTTGCATCGTTTATTTTAAAATGCCTAAAAATCAGATCTTTTTTTTCTAGCTCCTGGAGGTTGTAGATATCTAGGATAATTGGCTCATAGGAAGATTGCTGCTATAGACAAGAATTCAATTCATGTTTACCTATTACATCACAACACAGATCACCTCTTTTGCTGTGTCACACTGCAGGTATTTATTAAAGTCAAAGGACTCCATTTGAAACACAGCCAGGTGTGGACATTAAACTATAGGAAAATTATGTGTATTATCCTTAAGATTGTTCATATCTCTGCTGATTACAGACACCAAAATATAGACTTAAACACTGGAACACTTAAACTAAAAAGTAATAATCCAGCCTTCATCTTTGGATGGCTCTAGCTATGGTGAAGGTGGGACTCTAAAAGGCCGGCACAAAATAATAATGCAGTAAAAGAAAAAAGATTAGTTTGATATGCACAAAGCACATCAAACCGATTTTAATAGAACTTTAATGAACTGTATTCAATTATTTACAACTGTTTACAGCTATTTACTTTACTTTTACTTTTACATGCCACTAAGTTCAAATTCAATGGACTGGCTCCAGAAAACATTTTAATTTTCAGTTACTAAATATTCTTTTAATGCTAATGCTATCTGTAACTGTTGTTCCTGGGCTTATTAAAATCATCTAGAAATAAATGAAAGTATGTGAAATAAAGTGAAATAGTATAGTTGGAATGCAATGCGATTATTATTCTTGTCAGTACAGTATTGCTAATTTACAGTTTATTCATATAATACTCGAAGATAAGGTCTTGCTAACGCCCTACCTTGCATTTCCTAACAGCAGGCGATGAGGGTATAACTGGGCATCCATCCATCTGTTGACTCTGTGACTGCTTGATATTTAGGAGTTCTTTTGAACCCTTTTCAACAGATTATGTACTATAACAATGCTCAAAAGAAATATTGCATGATTAGATTTATAGAACAGCAGAGAGCTAATCCTGAGATCTAGTTCTCAGGATTCAACAGAGTGCTGCATGTAAGCCAGAACACAGGCTAACAGTAATGCCAATGTGGTATTAGCCATTTCAACACCTATGACATACTGTATCTGGGCTTTGCTCTTTTCTCATTTCTCAACAAGTCAAGGAGACACAGATGCCCAAAACAAAATAACCATTGTCATAATCCCTGGGGCACCGTTACAAGGACCTTCAGCTGGACAGTGAGGAAGGAAATATGAAGAGTGTTAAAAGTAGGAAGAAATCATGTAGAAAGTAAAGAGTCATTTTTTAAAGTCATTGGCTCGCTCCAGGCACTCAGTCTGTGTGAGAATTTGTGCCTAGACACTGAAATACTGAATAAATATAGGCCATAGTTTCAATAGGCCTTTTTTTCACAGGCAAATGTCTGCAAGGTTTTATGTGATGCAGAACCGTTTTATTGGTGCATGCCAATGTGAAGAAAAGAGACACAAGTGAGATCGGATCTTTAACTCACATAACTGCTTTACTGTTGTAGGACCTTTAAGTTAACTTAGTAATTAGGTTACCAAAAATATTTGTGACCTCAGTGCAAAA